AACAGATATCGATTCTTTTTTATTAATTACAGTAAGAAAATAGTGCCGAAATATCGAGCAAAAAAGATATAGTCGTAGAAGATCAAAAAAACAATAATAAATTAAATTAAATTAAAATAAATTAAAACTAAATAGCATGAGAAAAACAGAATTTTAGTACGCAATGTCATATCACATATTATATTTGTCTCACATAAAAAGTAGTATGTATTGTAGATTCAAAAATTCAAAAATCATCCAAGAATTCAAGAATCATCCTTCCAAAGTTGATTCGTAGGATAAATATCGACTCGTTGATTGACGAAGAAAAAGCTCCTTTTCGAAAGCAGCTTGGCGAGCATGACGTGGAAGATTAATTCCATTGTCATGAGAGTGGAAGATTAATTCCATTGTCACGGGAGTGGAATTAGGGTGATCCTCGTCGTCGATCCGCGGGCGTAAACGCCGGGAATTATCAGGCGGGGTTTTTCGACCGACCTTGCCCTTTTCTGTGTGCGAAGAAAAGAAAAAAAAAAGAAAAGAATCGAACGCCCGATCGAGAATTTTTACGCTCGGCGAGACGAGGAATAAATATCCCGTTGTATACATATACCGGACTTCCGTTTGCGGCCTCATCGACCGTATCTTCGCTTTCCATTAACCGCGTTAAATATTCCTCTAAATTGCCTCTAAATTGTTCACGTTTGGTTTGCGGTCGAGACGCGAACCATCGGTTATTTCCGATGCGGCCAAAACCGGAAATCTCGCAGTGATATCGCGAAAACTTGAAAGGAAATCTTGCGATTAATGTTCAATTATTTCTATACAAGCGCTATTTCTACGATAAAACAAAATAGAGATGTCAGGTATACGATAGATTTTATCGATAAGAGGTGGACGGAAAAAGATATTCCTTGAGATATTTGAGATATTGGAACATCGCAGGACAGTTCGACATGAGCGAAGATTTGTGCAGGATGTCGAATTACAGGTACAAGACTTGGAATTGCGACGAATATGGAAAAAGAAAATATAAAAAAGTATAAAAAAGTATCGCTCGTAATTAAATCTCTACGAGCAATATAAATAATTTATACAAACAATCGCGCGAGAACGGATTGTTTTTTGCAAATCAGTCCCCGTAAATGGATAAAAAATCCTGCTTCATTATTCGATTTCAAGAAAGAACTTTATCTAAATAGAATTTCTACGTGACATTTACTTATAGAAAGATGTTCAACGAAGAGAATTAAAATGGCACAAACAGACCACTCGTTCGCGAGGCAATTACGCTCTAAATGGAATTTTTGCGCGACGTTTACTTATTCGAAGTGGAAAATTGAAACGCATCGCGCCTACAATAAGACATTTGCCGAGGGGAAGAAAAGACCCCGATCCGCGGACGAGATTTTGTACCTGTAGTTTCGCGACATCCTGCAAGCACACGACTATATATACACCGTGTCGTGGCTCGCTCGTCATGTTAGGTTGTCACGACCCTGGGTCCAGCCAAGCCACAGCGACTAGCGTCCGGTCACGCGTCCTCAACGGAAGCGTCGTCCGAGGCGGCGCGCGAGCATCAGACGATCGACGTCCAGGAGCTGGAGGTGCAGGAGCAGGAGATGCGAGCTCTGTTGTCGCCGTCTAGCCCGAGTAGGTGTCATCTACTGGCCGGCACGCCGCCGCACCGACTCTGCCTGGAGACGAGCTTCACGTCGCTGCAAAGTCCAACGGACATACCGCAGGCGGGCCGCGAGCTCAGCGTGGACTCGCGGGGCATCCCGTGGGAGTATCTCAGCCTCGCCAGCGAGCTGCTCAACACACCCAGGCCGGAGGACGGCAAACCGTAAGGACGATGAACCACACTTAGAATCCTTCGCGGTTTGACTAAAACGATATCGAGAATCGAAGTCAGTAATAATAATGTCAATATATTCCGGGAGTAAAGTTAGAATCTCTCTGTAAATTTCCTGTTTTGAATGAAAATTTTTCAATCTCTTTGGGTCGCGAAGGATTAGAATGTCGGGACGAAATGGGCGAGCGAATTGAAGAGGAGAGGAGATAGCAGCGAAGCGACAACGATGACATGTATCAAACTCTGTTGATCATCGACGCCATGGCACTCCCTATTGCCGAACATGCAAATACAATTAATATGGAATTATAGATCTTATTGTTAGTAAAAAAATGCGCGCGTTAATGAAGATATCTCAATTATTATTATAGAGACAAAACAGATTTTTATTTTTGAAAAATTTAGCCAGTTTCCGATAAGAAATGAGTAGATGAGGGAATCATTGAATCGCAGGAATCATTGATCAAAAAGGTATCGAAAGAACGAATCAGTCGTCGCACCCGCTTCACGCTCAGATCTATCAGCAATTCATTTCACGCTCTCTCGTTCACTCTCGCTTCTCTCGCTTAGCTCCAAATCCTCACCGAATTTTCATATATCGTGCACCTTGTCTAATTACGTCATTGCACCGCGACTACAATTATCATTAAGATAAAATGATCACGGTCGCGCAGGAAGTGTCCCCAAACAGCACACAAGTCCGAAAGAATATTCCAAACACGAGGATATTTTTCGGACGTTTGCGTTGTCCTGGATCTTTGCAAAGAGTATAATATCCTCGCGATGATATTCATTCATTCCTTCTTCCTCGATAAGACCAAACCGTTGGGACGACCCGACGCGCACCGCGCCCTTGGCCACGCCGGAGACGTTGTCGGAAGCATCGACGAGCAGCCCACCTTCGCCAGTGATACCAGCGCCTAGGCCAATGCGGCGCACGCCCAAAATCCCGGGAAACTTGTCAACGGCGGCGGACGATCTCAAGAACAATCTGCACTACGCGATGCTCTCGGCGAAGAACTATTTCCTGAGGACGACGGGGGAGCATGCGGGAGGCAGTAACAACGGCAGTAGCAGCGGTAACAGCGAGGCGAGCTACGAGAGCGCCAAGAGCCTCACCGCCGCCGGTCTTCCGCCGCCGGTCCCAAGACGACGAGATTCCGTCACCGTTAGAAGGTAGGAGAAAACGATGGTCTCCGTTTTTTATGAGATACTGAAACAATCAGAGACAGCTTATATAGCCTAATATGCTCGCCTAATATTTGTTAACGAAATATAAGGATTTAATATATATGTAATTATATATATATAATAAGAAAATATACCCTAATACATACGTATCATTGCAGAGAACAACGAACGTGCACAGCGGCGTGCTGCAGGGACGATTTGTCGGAGAACTCGTCGACCCGCACGTCGTCTCACTCTTCGAGAGTTTCCCACACTTCGCACCGCGTTCAAGTGGAATTCAATCAGGAGGAGAACGATACTAATGGCTCCAGCTTGGACTTTTACGAAGCGAAGGTAACCGCGTGGAAACTAATATATATATATCTTTTGACAAAAAATAATTTTTTAATGTTACCGGCATTATTTATATAATTATTAATCGTACCGATTATCGCTCAATGTACTGATATTTTCACACTTTCAGGGCTCTTCCGGCCAGCGCGATAGTGGCAACGATGTTTTTCTCAGCGTGCGCAGTTCACCGGAATGCAAAGGGCTCATGGCACCGGCAACGGATTTAGGCGCCGAGTGGAAGAAAGGAATCGACGCTATGAGCGACGCCTCGTTACCGCTTCTCCGGGGTTTGTCGCCTACGCCGACCCCAGGTCAGCACAATTCACCTTTCTTCAACGCTAAGCGGAAGAAATATGTGTACCCCATTACACTGGTAGGACCTGGAGAAAGCAGCGTCTAGTTATAAATTTTAGATTTTAGATAAAAATCGAAGAACCTCGTCTCTTCGCGATTTCGCTCGATAAAGAATCGCGGTGCCAATCGGAGTTGAAAAAATGAAATAAAAACGTCGCTCTGTATTCAGTGTGGTCTGATCTTCCTTAATCTGGAAGAAACAATAATTGCGAAAGTACTTTAGTTCGACGAACTGAAATAAACCCACTCGAGGACCACAGGATATCTTTAATAGTAATAGTAATAGTGGTCAGAGAGAAATCAACGTTCGGATACATGTGCCAAATCTCTCTTTTCTTTTTCTCCTACTTCTTTTTTAACCTACGAACTTCTCAGGTAGCGATTTACTCAAACGACTGTTCAAAAGATATATGAAAACGTCGTTAAAACATCTCTTCCACAGAGTGATTGTCTAGAACATTTTCGTTTCAATAGGTTCAGATATTCTTCAAGCACTTTCCTGTCCTGATGCAATTTCAATCAGGTATTACTATTTCATATTTCATTCGTACTTTAATAATCATAAATATATAAATGTATTCGTATGTACTTCTAAGCACATATGATTAATTTAGCAATTGTTTTAATAACGCGATTAAAATATATAAAAAATTGAACATAATTATACACGATATAGAACCATCTATCCTTCAGGAATTTCAGTTCCATACTGTATAAGATCTACTTTGATTAGAAAAGTATCAGAGAAAAAAAAAAATTGTCTGCGACTAACTATAAAATCTAGTCAAGATTCAAACATACATATACTGCACATGATAGCAGTGGCCTACTCTGCATCGATATTATTTGTTAAGAATACAGTAGGAAGATTATTGATTTTTATACATTTCTAAATGTGAATTCGTCAAGTAAGAATCTCATGTACGTTCCGTTCCATCTTTTGATATAATTTATATTGTTCTTATAGTTTGTTAGAACATACTCTAACTACAAATTAACCAATGGTACTTTTCTATTATTCTTTGCATGATCGAGTTACTTTAATGCTAATATATAATGTGAATGAAGAAATATCTCGAGAAACGATATCACAATAATAGAGAGAAATGCGACCAGTCGAATATATGACTCTTTTGTGAGAATATGCTTAAGAGTCAAAATTTCGACATTGCATTGTACTTATGTAAAAAAAAAAAAAAAAAGAGAGAGAAGTAGCCACCGAGTAGCATTTAATTATAGTCAGTATAACTTATGTTTAGAGAATGTAATATTTATTGACACTCCTTGTAATATATATAAATATATTTATATATAGTGTCCCTCTCTAGGAGAAACTTGCAGGACATAGAGTTGATTTTAATGTAATAAAATTATAAGAAATAAACAATGGAGAAAAAAATATTATCTCTGTATATAGTATATATACAGTCCATTGTATGCATATTCATTAACTTGAAACATGACATATATATCTCATAATATAATATATTATATTACTACAATAGATTTTCATCGATATTCATGTTCTTATAGAACACTTTCTGTACAGTATAAATAATCACACCCACATCACGTAACAATTATTATTCCATTTCAAACGTTCAAACTTTTTTTGCACTCGCGTACACAAATTGAAGATGTTAATAGAATATGCTGTGTAAGCAGAACTTTACACTCATTGCATGGCGCTTGCCCATGGTGGTGTCATGGGTTGTGGATTTTGGAGGTAAGACATCACCACTGCTGATATCGACAACATGAAGCAGCTGAGGATTTGCTTGGTGTCTTCACTGACACGCGAATTGGCAAAGCTGATGCAAGAGCAGTAAAGTGCTACCCAGGCACACCATTTCAGTCTCATCATTAGGCCGCACATACTGAAAATCATCCCTATGACATTCATGTAGTCTGGTGTCAAGTCATCCTGCATTTGCCCCTGATTATTCGAACCTGGTGGCTTGTAACGGACTTCCTTCTCGGGCCGTCTGGGATCTGTCGAGCTATTCATCTTGGAAGACTGCAATATAAAACACTAAATAATAGCATCTCATTATATTTCTCGATAAAAAAAGCTAATAATACACAATTATTATTCACCTAAGCAATTTCAATATATTCTTTTTTTGTTTTGTGAAAAGTTATTGTGTACTGATTTTTTTACAAATTGAAATTCATCAAAATCATATGAATTTATTCGATCATTACAAGTTACAATCCTAATCAAGTTATTTTTGAATATAATATCAGTCCAATTTTATTTAAACACGAGTATAAAAACAGTTTAAATGTTTGAAATGGAATAAAATATTTGTTACATGATATGAATGATTATTATTTGTACAAAAGTGTCTTATAGCAATGTAAATAATGAATGTCCACTGTAATAATAATTTATTATATTATCATACATAATGTTTTAAGTTACTGAATATCCTATTGATGTAAATTATTAATAAACAATAATTTTCAGGAAAGCAACGACATACTCACAAGTGAATTAAAAGATATCGTGCAGGATGGAAAATCATTCAAATAACCACTGCAGCCATTACTTGTGGCTTGCGATCACGATTACTTGCAGCCACATGCAATCTCAACAGCTGATTCATGATGTAAGATAACGTAGCGTTAATAGACCAATCAAGGTAAAAGGAGCAAAGATTTCTTTGCCCTGATTGGTCAATTAAATGAGACTAAACCCCACAGGTAGAATTTTTGAACGCACTACGAGGGATGAATCCATAGCATACAGATGTATATCTATATATATCTATATGTCTATGGACAAATCTTTCTAAACGGGATTTTCGTGCGCATGCGTGAAATACGTCATCGAACATGAAAATCACTTCAATAGTATGAATATATATAAAAATAATTTGCTTATTTATCTATTCGGGATTGTTTTATATTTTCTTTTATTCGAATCGAAAAAACGATATGCTTATATATATATTTTTTATATTTGCGTTTTTTTCTTTTTCCTTTCATGTTCCAGTTTAAACAAGGAAAGTGCAATTGAAATTAAATCTAAAAGATTTTGTTAGAATTTTATATATAATAAGTCTAAAGCTCTCACACACACATTATTATACCATATAATTATAATTCAATACGTTTTTCTAAAATTGTACATATTGTATATATTACATATTCTCTATCATTTTGTTACATTCTCTGTCTTTTCACTGTTTGTTTTGCTATTTGTAGTATCACTAGAATCGGTTATTTGTTTCACAGGTTCACTCTTTGACAATTTTAATAAAAGTTCAGGCCCTTTTTGCGGTATCAAACCCGCGACGACATATCTGCCTTCTTCATTGACAAAATTGAACACGGTACACGCATTGCGCACGGAAATTATTTCCGTGGTGATACCGAGCTTTTGCACGATTTCTCGGAGGCTTTTCAGATAAAGAAAATCGTATTTGTCGTCCAATCCAATGATGAAGAGATCAGGTTTCGGCTCGAGGACGGTGAGCAGAGACAAAGATGAGTCGTTTATGTGTTTGCCAGACGCGACGTTCCAACAGATAGCGTACCTCGGGAAGAGCATCATTGGTCCTATCACTCGTGTACCAGTGTTGAATGTAAATCCTGTCTTGAAGGTAAAAAGAATCATTAAATCATAATTTCGAATTAGTCTTTTAAACATAAAATGATAAATATATATGAAAAAACAACGATAGTTGCTTTTTATTTCATTAAATTAATGACATAAATTAAGCTCACCTCATCGCATCGAGTTACCAGAAGTCGAGCACCAATCTCTTTCCTGATGAACGTGACAGTGGTTTTACCAGGACCTTCATATGCATTCCTAGCTATATGTGTAGCGTGTAAATTCCTACAAAAATTATACATTTTATTTGATTATTTTATACAAGCAAGCTTTATAGAGCACAAAATTGGAATAAGGATGAGAGGAGATATGTTCGACAGTTTATTGCTTTCTTTCACAATTTTAAATTAAAATAATCAGTTTTGTTTTCAAACTTTCAAGATGGTACACTAATTTAGCAAGTTTTATTTTTTACAATAATGCAAAACATAAATTTTTTTAACTAAAATTAATTTAGATTTCGTACGATATCGCTACAACTCGATGTCTTTAACAATAAACTTTTGTTTATCCTTGTGACTTTGAACATTGAGGCAGGTGTCGCGCACTTATTTCAAAAGAAAACAAAAAATAATCTTATTTATTCACATACATAACGATCGACCGAAACGCCGGTTTCGAATGAGTCACTCACCTACAACTTTGCAATGCCTGTCTTAATTGACACAATTTACTGGTCGCATTCATTGTATTATTTCGAAACAGATTACGACGCAAAGTACAAATTTACAGGGGCAAATAAATATATTTTCTATGACAGTACGATACACTGTCTGATCATGATCAGCTGTTATGCTTGTAGGTTAGAATTTCTGTGATATGTGTTACGAGTTTCTCTCTTTCTCGCCTTCTTTTTTTCGGTCTCTCTCTCTCTCTCTCTCTCTCTCTCTCTCTCTCTCTTTCTTTGATTGAGCGCGCGAGAAAATTGGTTTTTGTAATCGTTTTTAATATTTTCATGCTGATTTTTTGGAATGATTCGGTGAAACAAAATCGTCGTCGAAATTTCGAGATTAGATGATAATTTTCGCGACATTTACGTGAAAAATCAAGACGCGAACCAAATAAGCGGCGAGTATAGTTTGTGTGCAGCAGCTATTCAAAATCGCATCATGGCGTGTGCGATCGATCGCGGCGGGCGCCCCTTCCCATTTTTATGGTATATTTTTAGCAATATCGCGTATAAATACTCCATCGCGGAGATACGTTATTTTAACTGTAACACCGATGAGCTTTCTTGCCTTCTTTTTTTCGGTCTCTCTCTCTCTCTCTCTCTCTCTCTTTCTTTGATTGAGCGCGCGAGAAAATTGGTTTTTGTAATCGTTTTTAATATATTCATGCTGATTTTTTGGAATGATTCGGTGAAACAAAATCGTCGTCGAAATTTCGAGATTAGATGATAATTTTCGCGACATTTACGTGAAAAATCAAGACGCGAACCAAATAAGCGGCGAGTATAGTTTGTGTGCAGCAGCTATTCAAAATCGCATCATGGCGTGTGCGATCGATCGCGGCGGGCGCCCCTTCCCATTTTTATGGTATATTTTTAGCAATATCGCGTATAAATACTCCATCGCGGAGATACGTTATTTTAACTGTAACACCGATGAGCATCGATCGTATCGAAAATGAGCAGAGGTTGCTGGAAATTCGACGAGGAGGACAAAGGTGAGCGCGCGCGCGATGATACTCTGTCTCTTTCTTTCTCTCTCTCTCTCTCTCTCTCTCTCTCTCTCTCTCTCTCTCTCTCTCTCTCCGAGAAAAATTCACGAGGGTCGGTCCGTGTTATTTTGCTCTGCAATTTCGCAGTTGCGGACAAGCCGGATACACTTGACTGATTTCCACGCCAATTTACGTTTCAGATATCAAATTTCGATCACGCGTCGATTCTGCATTTTAATTGAGTCGAGCGATATAACAAACGCTGTCACAAGACACACATGACATCCTCTCGTATACATAATATAATGTAATTTTTATTCCCGATGTAATACTTGACGTATATAACGTCACGTATAAAAAATGCCGGCGTGCAAAATAGTTCTCCTAAAGAAAAAGGGGGAGAAATTCAACATTGATCTATAATCGAAATTGACATTAATATCGTCTAAAAATAATTTGCATTCAAGGTAAAAACATAAAAGTAGGACAAGGAGAGAAAGCACGCAGCATTATTAGATACAAGTCTAATGTATTTGCAAGGAATAAAGCGAGTCTCTTATCTTGTCAAGCCTTGTATATAGATCTGGAGGAGGAGGACACGGAGGAGGATAAACTTTACAAGGAGTATAGCCGCTGGGATCAGATTCCCGATATCCTGCTGGAGGAGATCTTTTCGTACCTGACCATTCGCGAGCGTTACTATGCGTCTCTGGTTTGCCGATCATGGTATCGTGCCTTCAAGCTACAGAATGTATGGTCTACGTTCACCCTGGAGGACACCACTCTCACGCGGGGAAAATTCAACTATTACAGCGGCTGGCAATACGTTCTGGATCATATAAGAACGTCTACGTGTCTGAACAAAGTCGGCAAGAACTTTCGCTCACTCATATTTGAGCCTATGCTCAATTTCTACAATCTCTATGAGTTTATGAATATGATATCGTGGTATACCGAGCAACAAGGTTTCGATAACACATCCGTGGCCGGCGTGGGTACCTACATTCGTAGGCTTAAGTTCACCTTTCCCTGTAACATGGCAAACAGGAATGATCCTGATCGAATTAGACTCTTTGGCACAGGTGGAAAGCTGCTCGAAGCACTCAAGAGGCTTATGAGAAATTTGCAAAATCTTAGATGTCTAGAACTAATAGATCTGATGCTCGAAAGTAATGAGGCCTTACACTTAATGGACGACATTTGTATAAATTGCACTCAGACCTTGTCGAAATTGATATTGATAAATACCACGCGTTATAATTGTCCATTATTACACGTTGGAGTATTTGTTAATTTAAATGTAAGTATATCAAGTATTGTGGAGATGTTTCATAATGTATTTATTTCTTGATATTATATAAAAAATATTTTTCAGGTCTTAGTTATTAGTCCCCAAAATTTGCACGAGGATGTAATAGAGTTAATAAGCTATACAAAATTAAAGCATCTTCATATCTTACAGAATCGATACAGTCCAAAAGATACCACCATAAGATTGGTAATTGCAATTTTTATTCTTATACATATGTATTACTTGCACGTTAAAAAATATAAAGTATCTATCTGCTTTCTTTTTTTTGTTTCAGCCAAAGAGATCATCTTGGGTAAAGATGAGAGCGAATAATCCTTATTTAAAAGTACATTTTGAGATAGAAAGCCATAAAGCCACGGATATACTTTTGCCTATCGACTTACTGGAGCATTGCGCCATACCGTGCCATAGTATAATATTGGATAATCCAAACACGCAAGTAAGAAAAATAATATTGAATCCATATTTAAAAGAAAAGTATATATAAATTTTTCTTAATGCTATAACATCGTTGCTTTTCAGATTTTGCCATCCACAGTGCTCACTCACGGAGCGTTCTTCGATTCGACGATACAGGTGTACGCTTTCAAGGGAGTAACGAGGTACTATCTGCACAGAAACTTCGCCAAGAGATTGGATGAGGCGCTAGTGCAATTCTGCCGAATGTGCCCGAACCTGCATACACTGGTAGCATTTTGTATTTGAATCGACACATGTGATAGCTTTCCTAAAAGGTGCTAACTGATGTTAACGATGCGAGTTTATGATGTGCAGGCATGCCCTCGTACCATTACGCATTTCAAGTCTTTTTTTGCTATTGCTTGAACGTAAGTGTCTCCTAACTATTCTAGGCTTATTTCCTTCAATGTTACACCCATCAAATATTTGCACCATTCTTAAGTAGTCCCACAAGCTTTTCAGTCCTTTTTATTTACTGCGCAATGTATTCCAAGATGTAGAAATGTTTTTTCTTATTTAAATGCATTTACTTAATAGCTAATTAAACAACTGTGAACATTGTAGTTTTTCAGAACTGTGGTACAAATAAATTTCATATTGAAGATGGATATTACGAATTATCAACAATCTAGCTTTTTCTAAAAATGCCTATTATAATAATAACTACTAATTATTTAAAAAAAATTAACGCATTGGACCATTTGATTGTTATCCATATGTTTTTATTAATTTATGATGATATATGGTTCATACATTTCTTCCATAGATGATACGAGACAAAATATCAACAGCTACGATTCTAGAGATCGTCTCTACCGCGAAACGCTTACGCTGCTTGTACGTTCGACGAAATGTTGTCCTGAAGAAATGTGACAGAGCCTGGTCGAAAATCCTGGATTGGTCGCCCGAGTATTATCGATGGATAAAGGTAAATAGCCATACTTACGAGAACACGGAGAGGGAGGTGTCAAGAATATTGGGCTATCGATGGCACATGTTATCCGAAAAAGAATTTAAGACGCAGACGATTAATTTGCATATGTAGGTCGTTGTTTCTATATATTATATGTATATATATATAACGATCTATTTGTGCAAATAAAAGAACTCGCCTGCGAGTTTTTATAATCTAAGAATTTTTTGTATATATATATATATATTTATTATATATTTATATATTTTGATGTCCCTTTTACGAAAAATGTGCAAAGATTGTTGCCATGACTGTATGCTTAATGTTAGTGATAATTCATAATAATTATGTGCCAGGTTATTTTTATGTAACACTGCGTCGAAATAGTGATGATTAAAAATTATTATGGATATATCGAGAGAAAGATTGAAATGTACTTAATTACATAATTATTTTGTTGTACACGATTATATGTGGTCGTTTTACAATATTCTTGAAGAAAGCAACTGTGATTTTTAATAGCGAAAAACAGCGGGATCTGCTAAACATACGTTGGACTGTTTTATAGAGAAACTTATAAGTTTGACAAATAATAAAACAGAAGGAAGTATAATAATTTTATGCATTTACATTTATCCTTATGATCTACGTTTTAATTTATTTGAATGTGTATCGTTACAACTTACATGTAATTATGTACAGTGATAGTAAATATTTCATCCGGCTTTTAATTGTATATGTAGATGTTACTGTTTATATGGAAAAATCTCATAAACAACATGTGTTTGTATGTGTTATAATGAAAAAAAAAATCGGTTTTTAAACATGAAACAAAAATTCCATACGTAGCAATTAAAACATTGTGTATAGTTTGATTATTAACGTTTACAATATATATCCAAAAAACAACAGGACGGTAATAACCGTTTAAAACATATAACAATGATCAATATCGGAGTCAATACATTTACCGAAATAATTTATATAAAATGAGATTTATATATATATATATTAACAGCACTATCATTGTATATATACATATTTAGACTTGTATATATACACACGTAGACTTTATTAAATATCATTAAATAAAGGTAAAGCTGCTAAAAAGCAGCGAGAAATAGAATCACATACAGAATTTTTAGCGAGGGGAGAAGACATGCATGGAATATATCTGTACATTTCGATATTGAAGAAATGATAATTTGCGCTATTAAATGTAGTTACAATAAATTAACGAAAAAAAAATTCAAATATACTTGCATTATACTAAAGTAACATCAGACAGCCAGCATAGGAGCAGAAGTGTAATTACGGTGCTATGGCTGCGGATCGTTTATCGCGGTTCTTGTTGCGCTGAATGGTGCGTGCCTTGAACGCAGCCGCGTTCATCAATGTCTGCGGATTAAAAACAAGAACAAAAAATCAGTCATGTTGTTAAAATAAGCGATTTCTTCTACTGTACAAGTTTCGATACCTACTCTTTCTAATTTACTCGTTTTCACTGTTACTAATGGAGGTAGAACTTTGTTGCCAAGATGGAAAATCTCGCGCAGGAGTTGATTTTCAGCAAGATGGATATTGATACCGGGACCTAATAGCCGGCAGCAGGCATTGTACTGGGTCCTCGCACACCATCCCTCTAAATACAAGATCTCTTTGCCGAATTTCACATGCATCTCAGGAACAATGTCTTCCTGAAAGTGCAAGAAACAAGAAGCGTGACGTCTCGTTATATCTTTCTGCACTGGCATGGAATCTCTACGTCTCAAGCTTCTTAAAACAGACAAATATTCGCGTAAACAGTATAGCGCGCGATACAACTTACTTCGATATAATGCAGAATATCTCTAAAATTAGCGCGCTGCTGCTTGCGATCTTTCTTAGCCCGATACTTGTTGGAATCCGTGGCGAGTTCCTTGAGAATTTCAACGAGGTCAAGCGCCCAATCCTGTTCGTAATCGGCGGAGAAATCACGGCCAAGTTCGAATATTACGGCCATTGCCTCGCCGGCCGACAAGCGTACGTCGAGATGCGGCGATTTCAGCAATTCGCGCAATCGATTGAGAGAACTGGAAGAGATAGAACAAATTTGATCGCGTCAACGATAAAATGCGCATGCGATAACGTCGATGACTTACGGCATGTAACTGTTGGTTCTGTCACTCGCGAGCAAATTGTAGATATCCGCGGAGGTCATGACCGTCAGAAGCAGAGTCCAGGATGAGATAGCTGCCGCGTGTAACGCCGCCAAGTCCGTGGATATGTTTGCGATCGCGCCATTTCCTTTCAAATAGGAACCGGAGAAGATGGACGACAGTAACTGTACGATTTCCACGGTATCAGCCGCATCATTGCCGGACAAGAACTGATTCATGGCTAACGCCCAGCAACACTGGAATCATTTTGTTAACGTAAGATTATCTGTTGCTAATGCAAACAATCGCGCAAAATCAATATCTGTAATAATAATCATATGATATATTTTTAGATTACCTCGGCGCGAGCCTGAACAGAAGCCGTATTGTCATTGGCAATGAAGGTGAGGGTCGATTTCAGATCCCTGCAGACCGCCTCGGCGCTCTCAAACGCTCCTAGCTGGACACACAACAGGGTGCTTAGTCTGGCTGCGGTCGACTGCTCGTCGCCCCGTCCCTTTTTCAAGCTGCGCTCCACGGCATCCGTGATGGTCATCTTTCTATCCTCGACGAAATCTGGGATGTACTTGATGGCGAAGATCTTCTCTATACCATTGCAGCATATGATCCTTCCCTTGGCGCTCTTTTGCGTCAGTCCATCGATTGCTTCCTTCAGCTTCTCCTCGAATGCCTCTTGCTGCGCGAGCTCGTCCACCTCGTTGTCGTTCGCATCCTCCAATATGCTACGATTGTCGGATTGGCCGCTGATCTCGCTACACGCATCATTGTTGACCGAGTCCTCGTCGGATGTAAATTCAGCTCTTTTTCCACCTGTCATCGGGACACGAGATGTAAGATACGATTAAAGATACGGTTTGCTTAGACAGCTTGGTGTATTTATATATAAAGCGCACTAATTGTGAGATACGCGCAATAAATTTCGACGTGCATATTTCTCCCTCAACTTCCACTTATTAGTCTTTACCGAAACGTTAATTACGATTAACTAAAGCTAAAAGCACGTGCGAAATGATTCACATATGTTTGGTAAGAGATACTACTACTGTTGCCATATGGAAGGAGGAGTTGAGTCTCATGCATATATTTGTGAATACTTAGCGTCTATAAATATTAATAACGATGGATTATTTTATCTTTATTCTTTCTTCTCAGCCAGTCACAAAAGGAGAGTGCTTAATAATTATTACTAATTTATCAATTATAGATCGATGCTGAACGTTTCAAGTTTTATACGTCGATCAGAGACCATGCGAATTTAACAGGTAATTCGAGTATATGAGAGGAATAAAAACAGAGCTGCTGAAAGTGAATGTCATGTTATGTAATGTAAAATGTACACAGCTGTTATACACGCTTCTATTAATTTTATTTACGCGTTTCACAGCAGATTATAATTATAAAAAAGAGGAATTGCGATAAATTATAGCATGCATTTTTACAGAAAAATTTATTTTCAACTTGAAGTTAAAATTGGAAATACTAGATATTCAGCTAATAGTAAAAATACATATTTAATTAAATTAAATATCTATCTTATATGGTTTATACATCTAAAAAAAGTTTCCGTAATTTTGTACATATGTAAAGAAAAAAAAGAAAAACATTTATCATGAAAAAAATAATTAAAGTATCATCGTGTACATATAAATTTATAATTTCCAAGGAAGAGACAAAGAAAATTACATACATATATATTTTTGGCTATATATAAATTCTATCGATTGGGAAAGATTATATTATCGCAAGATTATACGATATGAATCATCGGCACGAAGAAACAAGCACAAAAAGAACTAACATGCAAAAACGGCGATTTATCACGAAGACGTAAGCGAGTAATTAAAATTCGCAGTCAAGTTAAGCAAAGAAGAACTTTGGTCAAGGGGCAAAACAAAATATATTTTTACCGCGCGAGAATATATGTATTTATCTGCTTTCGATTAGAGTCGACGGACAAACACACACGCCGTAGAAAGGAATATGTATTGATGAGGAAAACTATTGCCACGGATTGCCTCAGATTGCGTAAATTCCTTTATACTTCGCATCCAATCCAAATCGCGTTGGAAGAGAGATATCGAGCGAATCGTTATTAAAGTACGTGAATAAAAGTGACGCGAATGAGAGCAAAAAGAAAAAAAAAAAAAGCGAAAGTATTTGGCAAGATCGAAAGAGCGAGAAGAGGATATACAGTCGAAAATATCTCTCTTCGTATAATTCAATATTGACTTCCAGGCATTCCATCATTAATATTATTACAAAATCATCGATGATTTAATCGTGCGTGAATATGCGTACGATTGTAATACGACGCGATTTCCGTATTAAACTTTGCAACTTCCCACGAAACGTCCTATAACCTCTTGCAAGAGCACATGTTCCAATTTCGAGGACGCCCCTGATTTAGCTCTGTCCTTCTCGTGTTTCTCAAAGTGTTCGCTAAATTTTTTTATTCGCATTATTCCGATGCGGATAATGCTGTGGATTGACAGCGTCGCGATTATGCGTGTCAGAACTCCATGTGCCAGAGGCGTGAATGTCACATGGGAACAGTTATGTCTGCCATGGCTGCAGGAAAATCGTTCGCGGGTGAATTTTCGCGCGCGAAACGGGAATAGACGAGAGAGGCGGACGTCTGCTGGCATCTCGAAAAGGGAAGATACGTCAATCGACATTGCGCCGCGATGACGTATGACATATATACAGAGAGAGCCGAGCAAATAAATATAAGATTTCCATTCCGCGCGGATGAATCATTGGAACGGACGGGACGGGGCGCGAATCGATAATTTAATAATGTCGAGCGCGTCACGTGCTCTGATTTTTCCTCGCTAACGTCGTGAAAATGCTTTTTTTTCTCTTTCTCTCTGGACGAGGAGGAGTCGAGCGAAGGGAGAGGATCGATTCGAGACGAAAGGGCGAGATACGATATTCGGGTGGAAGTCGGTTGTCGGTTATGCTTACCGTACTTTCCTCTTCTGCCCCCTTTGCCTGGCATCGTTCCTCAGTTTGCTTATTGCACAATTGATACTAAGTAAAAGACTCGATCAAGAGGGTAAATGTCTCGCACTAGTGTTTTTCTTTCGTATACTGAATACACCACGTGAATTTTTCGATGGGAGCAGACGAAAACTCATTAACATGTTGCGGAGCGTTCAGAACATACACGCCGAGACAGCCTGCGACGGGCTTTCTCAACTGCACTGGCTGTCCTATCCTATAGTCCTATCCGCTCGTCTTCCACTTCTGACCAGACGAACGTGCTCGAACTGTCACGAATACGGCCGAACGCGGCTCGCGCGCTGGCCAATCAGCTGTTGCGATTCTGCCTTACGTCACTTACGTCAAGAAGTTTGCGCAGACTCGCCGGCGGGATTTGAGCTGATAAGGTCGACGGATACGTAGATAATAGATTGAAATACAAAGAAAGGTACGAAATTATTTCATACACAATATACTTATATTAAATTCTATAACAATGTTAAAAATTGCTCTTATTGTCCTAAGAGAGTTTTAGATAATAAATAATGGCGATGTATTTAGGGTTTTAAAGAATAGAAACATTTTTCATAATATTAGAAATATTTATGACACGATTAGAGTCCAAATTCTTGGAAAAAGTTTATAAAACCTTCTAATATCTGTAAATCAAGAGACTTGTATGAAATAAGAAAACTTGTTTGTAAATAATGTACTGAGAATTTATTAATTCATTGTTTTAAGGAGATATGTCGTTACAAACGGAGGGGCTTTGGTACTTAAACTATAACATTAAGATACGTTCGCCGTAACTTATGCGTTACACTTACATTTACATTAATAAAATGAAATACTCATATATTTATACATTACCAGTACAAATATCATGTCAATTTATTAATTTTTAAGAGCACAATACTGTTTCATTTTTTAATCGTACAAAGTAGTAAAAAGCTTTGTGAACCCTAATATATAGTTTATGCATAATTTATTATCCCGCATTAAAGTATATAATTTTATATATTCTTTTTCTTGGATAAGCAAGTTGTCAAAATTCTTTATAATCCATATTATCTAAATTGTCAACAATGGCATTTTACTTGTGAAGCGGAGTTATAATACCTATTTTTGTCACATGTACAAAATATATGAAAAATGTACTATATTAAACATATTGTACTCCTATTAAACACGATATTGGTAATGTGATTTATCAGATGTACATTAAAATAAATTTTTTTTTTTTTAAGAATAGTTATATTTCTTTATATCATTATTATATGGTTTTACTTGCGCAGTGTAACAAATAACAGGGCTAAGAGAGTAAATATATAAATATAAAGTATAAATAAAATAATCATGCCTATAACATAAACGAACATATATTCAACATATAGCTATTTAATATTTATATACTTTATATACTTATGTATATAAAATTTATATAATTATATTTATATACTTTATATACTTATGTATATACAGTTTAATATGTAGCAGATAAAAAAGATTTAATTGTACCATTTTTAGTAAAAAATGGAATTAACATTTAAATTTTAAATACTTCAGTTTTTCGCGGGAACTAATCAAGTAAAATCAAAATCGTCATTTGCTATGACTTGAATATTTGCATCTTAAATTAATTAACATCTTAAATCATTCTCACACATTACTTTCGAGGTAAAAGATAGTATGCCTATGCAAAACAAAAATTTCAGAATTTGTTTCGTTAAAAAAAAAAAAAGAAAAGAAGAAACCATTTTTATGTAATAAAAGAAAAAAAAGAACATTAGAACAGCAAGCTTTTTGTTCCCGGGTGAGTCCTCATCGTGTATAAATTTTTATTCCGCCTTATACTTTCATCACATATTTCTGTTTGTCGCATCGACACGTATTTGGAATATATTTTAAAGCTTTATAATGTATGTGTTTACATTGTTGCAGAAATGAAATTATTATAGCTTGCTACAATGAACAGAATGATTGCTAAGGTGGAAAGAGCGCCTGCCAAGTGCGAGGCACTGGATGGTGACTTTGAACCAGTGGCGGCCGCGCTTTGCGCGTTGAGTATATTTTCGCACGGTGTTACCCTTTTAACGAAATTGAATATGGAATCCATTATGTTCGCGGGCGTTGGATCTGGGCACTTTTCCAATTCCGCTACGACGCAGGTTTGAAGGCTGGTCATATCACTGTGATAAATCGGAGATAAAAAAATGGTTAGTTCAATTTATGGAAATGTTTAAAAATAAGCATTTTGAGATTGTTAAATTTCAAATCAACAAAAAAAAAAAACTAGAATTTAGAGCGTGTTTGTCAAAAATATTCAAGTGAAGCACTCTGATTTTGTGTACGTCTTACTTGCATTCTCTGGTACCAAAAGTCAGTGACGGCAAACTTTCGAGTCCGATCAAATTATTAGAGGGATCAGTTTTTGGTATGTAACCACCATATGTATTGTTGGCACAATCTTGAATCGCATTCTGTTTAGATTGAAAACATTCCGGTCCTTCGGCCGATATGAAAACTGCAAAGAGATAAGATTATTATAATACTAACAACAGACGCGTAAAATTATAAAAAAGTTCTCTATGAAAAGGATAATTTCTAGGATCAGAAAAAGCTTTCAAAAAAAACATCGTAGAACTATCAAACTTACGGGCGATGCGATCTCCCTCTTTGTAGCAAATAAATTCTAACAACGAGTCGGTGATGTTCAGCACGATCTTCTTGTTTTCCCTCTCCTTCTCGTCCAGGCAATGTTCCACCGTGTCGGTGAAGTTGTTGACACAAGCACGCAAAATGGAGCGCTTGTTGCAATAATTCTTAAACACTATGTCCAGATCGCCGGTCGGCTTGTACTTCTCCATCTCTGCCTGGAGTTCCGTGATGTTGATGAGCGATTGAAAGCATTGCACCATGTTCAGCTGGGCTTGCTGGGCATTTTCGAATGCGCCTGGTCCACCGTTCTTCGTACATTTCTCCTTAAAGAGATTCTTCGCCTCCTCGACACTTGGCAGTGCTGATGTGTTTAGATTATTCAGTTCGGGGTTGTCGCCAATCACCTGGCCAACTTGTTGCAGTATATCGGTAGAAGATATGTTTTCTTGCGAATATGTACATGCAACAAGACCTGAAATAAGGAGAGAATATCTTTAATAGAAAGATAGTTTTTTCTTACAAAATTTTTTTTTTTTTATATTATATGGAAATATTTTTTTTCAGTCCGACTAGATTTATAAAGTTACGGTTCATTTTTCATATCTAACGTTGAGAAAAGAAACGAGTAGCAATTACGGAATATACTTTATCCGTATTACATTGTACGTCAGATGGAAATCGATGGCGATTACATTCTTACTAATTATACGTGTTTTTCTTCAAATTATGTCTTGTCGGTTGTACATATGTTATATAATATTTTCTTTCATTTATATATACAGGAAAGAAAACATCAGTCGAATCGAATCAATCCAGTTATCAACGAGCGACAGTTGCTCAAAACCGGCATACAATGATCGCCTTTGTTATGCAAATATGTCTTGCATATGAAATTGCGCTCTTATGCAATTGTACTTTGATTGAACCGGCAAAAACTTCGCTAGCGGAATCCGCTTAGGACGACTTTGTAAAGGTAAAAGTTTCATTTTTTGTATTTCTTTTCCCCCTATTAATTATTAATAATAATATTTAATAGATGGTGTCGTTTTTATTTTGAAATCGCGTTTCTACTTTCTACAGCTTTGAGTTTTCTAATTTAGAATAACGCAACGCCATGATATGCATTTTACATCGATCGAAATAACCGATATTTTGAGACTAACGATGATGCTGCAAATTAATCATTGGTCAAAGCTACATAGGATGGAAGATGTACGGATATGATACTAGATTATCATTCTTTGAACCATTAAATTATTCTGATAGCAATAGAAAGAGATATTCGTCGGGAAATCTCTTGGAGCCAAGCTTCCTTGCACGCGAGGCCAAAACGCATAATCTACGGACTTTGTATTCGTGTTAGTCAGCTTCCAATCAGCAACAGCATACGTATTATCTTTCTTCTTTGTTATGTTTCTCTTACAGAAAATACTCAGGGACCGATAGAATGCCGGCAAGCTAACTCGATAGTATTTCGAGGTCTTCTTTTCGACTGTGATCCGCTAATTGTCACGCGCATCATACCTCAGCAATACCTGAAGTCATTGTTTCTCCCTCTCTTACTTGGCGCTACAGCGTAGAAGACTCTTGAATCGTTACGATGTGAGTAATACAGTTTTACCGCTTATATCCGAAGAACAATGAGCATAGTTTCAAAAGCGGACAAATATGTGACTAGATATGAATCATCGTATCCAGAGAGAAGATAAAGAACGTTATATTTGATTGACATTTAGGATAACGATAGAACGGTAGAAAATTGTCAACATTCCAATTATGTGTCTGCTAGAATTTGACAATTCGCGACAGATTAAGAGGATTTTCTTAGACAAAGTGAGAGATTAGCCCGACTATTTTAATGCAAATTTATCTAACAATAAGTCAAGAATATCTTTCTTATTGTTTCACAGAGTCCCTTCATTCGTCTTTTAAATAAAAAATTCAAAGTCTATTACACGTAATATCATTCACCAAACTTCAAAAAATTTCGACAATCAAAATCAATCAATTTCGAGAAGAATGACATTATATATGTATGTATAATACATCAATAAATATGCGTTTATATTTTCTAAGTAATTTGTCATTTATATTTCCCGATTCGCGATATTACGAATCTTACGCGGGTACTAAGAGTTCACTAACGCTGACGAATCGTTACACGATTCTTCCTCGTCGATGATACGCAGAAAATTGTTACGTGCAGTGAAAGCGAGACGCGTTTGCTGATTTCGCGTGTTACGCATGTGAGTCGTTTCGCGATTTACAACCGGCGATCAATAAAGGAGTTATGCGTTTTAAACTATACGCTAATTATGTTAATAATATACGAGGAGTAGCACTGCTCCTTTAGATTGCTTGTGAAATGACATTGTATTAGACTTCACTCGCGTGTATTTGCATTTTATGCAGAGATCTTTTGAAATTTTTTGTATGATTTTATCCCATAGAAAGTAGCCTAAACAGATTCCGCAATGCTATAGCGAAAGTACATAATCGGATAATGAAAAAAATTCCAAAGCTATATACAAACGTTAACGAGACTGAGGCATTTTTAAATAATTAATTTTGCTAAAAAAGATGGAAAGAAATTCTCCTATTAAATAAAACAAAATATTTCTTAAAATTTGGTTAATTTTATTTTCTAGAAATTTACAATCTCTTTCCGGAGATTCATTACCGGAATAGTTAACAGAAATTGAATAAGATAGATTATTCTGATAAGTTCGTATATTTTTCTTATTTTTTACTCGATGAACGATAATCGTTGCAACACCTAATGATTAATATCGTTCGATGCATTAAGGCTGATAATATAGATAATGTCTAGTGTTGTCAATGTAATGCGGAGATTCGACATTTAAATATATAATCGCGGGACAAAGTGCGATCAACACATGCTGAAGATTGTATCAAAGATTTATCGATTAACAATCGAACGCTATCGCATAAAAAGATATGTGACAATTCAATAAAAACCAAATGGATTAAAATCCAACGCTTCTTTATAATTTATAATTTTCCACACATGAATATTAATTTTTAAAAATTGATAAAATTTTCTTAAATATCATTTTATCAAATAGTTTAATACATAGACAAATTGTATGTTTCATTAAATTGTAACAGTTTGTGAAATCTTCTCATCTTTCCAAAGAGATCTATTCACAGCTGAATCGCTCAATTAATTGCACGCACCTACGAATAATGGTGTGATTCTCATTGAAATTATTACAATTAAGAATTTGAAATAATGAGGTCGACAATCTTCACAATCGATTAACGAATGCAATAATTAACCGCGATTGCAAAAGTTGAGATGCGTTTTATAGTCGATTGTAGATTACGTTACCGCAATAATGTGTTATATGTATGTGTGTATTACGCGTGTACGACTAACATACCATTATCATTAGAAACCGCGGTAAAATCGCGATCTATCTTGCGAAAGATTCTAGAACTGTAATCTACTTATATTCGTGTGTATAATGTAAGATTTAGAATTTCTATGTTACATCCGAAAATAATTAAAAGAGATTGAAAATTCTAACTTTTAAAATCGGGAGAGATCGTTTGTACCTGCGTTTCTTTATCGAATTTACGGCGAATATAATGTATATATGTAACGTGGAATTGACTTTTGACATCTAATCTGGCAAGCTGGCGAGTTGGCATAAAACGATCGACTCAATCTATTAACATTTCATGTTGATGAAACGATACACTTTTAAATTGCATTTTAGCCGCATGCGTTAAAATGACTAAAAAAGCTTTTCGAGAACTTATAAGGAAGCACATCTCAAGTCGAAAGAAAATATTTTATTCTTGAATACTCGAGGTGTCACTTTGTAAATACAAATTGAAAAAAAATATCTTTTTATGCCTTGGAAAAAAAAATTTCTCATTTTTGAATAATAGATTTTTATTATTGAAAATCTCTCTAATTTAAATGAAATCTTTCTTTTCCGCGAAAAAAACTACAATTATTCAAATTAAAATTATTCGTACAACGTTTACAATTCACAATGAATAATGAACTTCCCTGCATTCTGAAGATTCTGAGAGTGTCTTAATTCAATTGTGTGCAAACTGCTTTGTATATTATATCAGAGAAGCGAGGAAAAAATTTTTTTGAGAAGTTATACGTACTTTTCCGGATGTGTATATACTATAGTTATAGAAAAACATTTTAAATAAAAAAATAATCATAGAATATAATTATAGAATATCTCAAAGATATGACTGTTTGCAATGTTATAAAAAAATAGGAATTGAAATGTTTTCCTTATCGACATTTTTTTCGTCAAACTATCTTTCCGACCTTTATTTACGATAATAAAATCATAAATTACACGACTTGACAGTAATCTTGGGATATTTTAAAATATACTCTAATATAAAAAATATCTTTATACGTATGCGTGCGCGTATCTCACGGACACATCCTAGATAAAAAAAGTAGTTGAGATTTAATTCACGAACTTTTCCACGATCTCTCTCGACAATTTCCTGTAGAATTTCTCCGAATAACGTTTATCATTATCACGTACAAACAATTGTCGCTTTCTTTGTTTATCACTTTTGTATACTAATCGCAACACTATCTTTTACTCACAATGAAAGATGAGAAGGGGAATCTTTCCATTAAATCATGCTAAAAAAACCGGCAATATAAATCGGCATTTTTTAACATCATCGTTTTATATTCAACGCATTTTTTAAAAATCTGTTTGAATTGCTGATGTTCTATTTATAGCAGAGCCGTCTGCGTATCGGTCAGAAAAAAATAACATATCGAAAGCGACAAAGTTTAAGAAAGTTATCTATTAATGTCAATAAAGTAGATAATATGTAACAGTCAACTAGATTGTCTATCGTTATTGTAATCAAATACATGTATAGTTTTGGTAGGAAATCACGGGCAAATGATCAATGGACAGAGATCAGTCACCGAATATACGTACCGAGGAATAACGCTATAGCCGGTAGGAAATCACGGGCAAATGATCTCAATGGACAGAGATCAGTCACCGAATATACGTACCGAGGAATAACGCTATAGCAGTATACGTGGTTAACCTCATGTTGTCTTCAAGACAGCGACACTTACGGGAGGGTAAATCGAGTGTAACGCGACTGCAACACAGCGCACCCACGCACTGGAGTATATAATATAGTCACTACAGCGTGTACGTACATATGCACGTGCACCTTGGGAGGGCGACGCACCTCGCTTTATTCAACACACGCACAGCGAAGATACGTTCCCGTTGCCAGTCGGACCGTCTCTGTCCGCTTCTTGTCGCCGATCTTTTATTGCGAGCGAGCACGATGTGTCACAGCTGACTCGTAGCAACTGGCCGGTGGGGAAGGCTAGGGAACGAGGAGAAGGGAGGGATGAGCGAGGAAGAGCATAAAGAATGAAGAGGGTACAGGAGAGAATATAGGAAGTAGAAGAGAAAGAGATAGAGGCGAAGTGGCACTCGCGACAGATTCACCCTCCACGCAACGATGATCATTCCACGACCGAGGGCGCTCGGCGCATGCGCCAGATTTATATGCGGATGCCATCTCGCGCCCGCGCAACGTTCAAAAGTTTATCGCGATGAATGGTTTCGTCGCAATCGCCACGGGAATTCTTTCTACCGAGCTGGACGGATCGAAATGTACGAGTGAATATAAGAAACGCAAGTTGAGGCTGCCTAATTCTTCGCTTTTAATCAAACTATGCCGTCTTCTCGCCCTTCAGCGTCTTGAGAAGAAACGACGAAAGAGAACTATATTTATTGCGTAGGTATAATATATACCGTTTGTACTTAGATTGACATTAGATGGTCGTTATCGTTGAGAGGAGTTCCGGTAGGACGGATGTAAGTAGTCTCTTTTTTCAATAAACTTGAAAAATCTTTATTCTATATATGCACGTTATCATTAAATATGTACTACAAAATTTGTAACTCTATCGTCAAGTCCTCGGTAGTATAGTGGTCAGTATCCCCGCCTGTCACGCGGGAGACCGGGGTTCGATTCCCCGCCGGGGAGGATTTTTTTTTCTTTTTAACAAACAATTGTAATCATGATATAAATGTAATTGCTAGAGAATCGCGTTATAAAATTTTATTTTTATAGTTAATTTTAATGTAAATAGTGCTCTCTTTCTTTTATGACTAGATGCTCGAATGTTTCAGATGCATGTTTTGAAGCAGGAACAGAGTTACTTTTCGTATATGTGTGATAAATTAGAATAGTTATAAAATTAAAAACTCAATATTTATATTATAAAAGATATATATTTATAAAATTTGGGAATCTAGTTCATGCTACTATCTCTTATGCATTTTAAAATAACAAGTTCATCGAGCATCGGTGGTTCAGTGGTAGAATGCTCGCCTGCCACGCGGGCGGCCCGGGTTCGATTCCCGGCCGATGCATCTTATTTTTTTAATTATATATAATTTTTTTTTTTTGCTTTGCATTCGTGCAATTATACGATACGAATTTAACGGTATGCTTTCATAAACATTAATCATCAACTCATAGAAATAAAAAATCTTCGCCGGGAGGGAAAACAGCTTTTGCAAGATATCTGACGAAGCGTAAGATTATATTTTATCGCGTGGGACCTAATCATTAATCACGTAACCGTAATATGTGAGCTCGATTGCTTATCGAATATTGTATTACGGACACGTAACACAAATCGCTTGTAATACGGACTTTGAGTACAAATGAAACAAAATAGGAAATAGTCAGGAGATAATCAAGAAGTATAGTCATAGGAAGCGACGCGCAATAAGAATTGCTTTATCGTTTTACGTCAACAAAAATTTTTATTTGCAACAAAGAATAATAAATATTACGTGAACATTACTTTTGATTCGATGTAATTAAACAATTGAGGCCGCAGAATTTCACGAACGCTGATACAGCCAGTTTTGCGGAAGTATCACTCACTTTCATTCCTGAGAGATCGGGAAAACCGAGCTTATCTGTGTTATTAATTACAGCTCCGCCCATATTTATGCGAGTTGCGTTACAATATATGTTCTGTTAGCATGATGATCGCTTGTTATTTATGTCAAATCATGTATCATTACAAATGAGATTATTTCCCTTCCTAAGGAATGCTCTGATTGCATATTAATCGTCGACCGATTAGTCGCAACGCATTTTTTTCTCCTTTATTCTTGTGATTTCTGCCGTTATCAAAAATAGGTTGCATGGAACTTGAATATTCTCAATATTAGAATATGTAGATACAGAAAGAGAGAGAGAGAGAGAGAAAGGGAGACATACGTCATAATTATATCGAGCTGTATATAAAGTTTAGATATACGCAAGAGGTGAAAATATTTATAAATCATATCATATATTCAGGTATTTATTCGCAGAAGGATAAACATAACGATTACAGAGATAGAGGACATACGTAAAGAATAATACGTGTGCGCAACATTGTATTCGTCGCGATTCGCGCCGTGGAATTGGACCCTGTAACCAACTTTTTTGTTTATAATTAACTAATAAAACGTCGAAGAAGAAGAAGAGACTGCCGAAGAATTGGCCAAACAATTCTTTCTTTGATTTAAATAAATTAATAGACAGTTCGCCGATAATGTCGAACAATTGAATTTATAATATTTAACTGCACAAGGAAAAAAGAAAGAACCGAGGAGATAAATTTTTAACGAGCTTTTTAAGATAAATTTCTTCTTTCTTCCTCTGTCTTTTTACGCGCGCTTCTTCTTCTCGATCGAGAACGTCACAATAAATTATAACGATTAATAAGTTATATATGTGTAGCCGTTTTAGCTTCATCCGGTCAACCGAACGATTAACATTGTAAATAATATACTTGTAGATTGCAATTAGCAGAAATACGTGCGAGTCTAATGATAAGCTAGGACACACTTGGCAACGTAGCGGTTAATATATTAATTTATATTTTTTCAGAATGGCGATGTTGTAGCTGTTGACTCGCACAGCGAATAGGCGGACGCATGAATCAGCGTGTCATCTCACGAAATACAGAGATCACAGCTTGTAAGCGTTGCGTATCATCAGATCAAAGTACGCATCGTGATCTATGCTCGCGCTGATAACGCTGTAATAATTCATGAATTCCTCTGCCGTTACCTGCAACGAAGAGAAAAAACAACGCTGATCGAGGTAAATTGTTTACAACGTAAATAAATAATATGTATTTTGCATAAAAATAATGGTAAAAATATGCGATACAGTATATTATTATAACAGAGGGGAATTTTGATAAAGTGAAATATTTTACAATTAAGAAAAACATAGCATTTTTATAATTACATCGTAATCTTTTATTTGCGAACAGATGCTGAATAAAGTGATACGCCGCTATTTATCAGTCCTTCGTACTTTTGACTAATTTATACGCTGTTAATTCTATAGAGCGAAGTTATACGGGTCAACAGATTTTATTAGAACGACATTTCACTTGTTAGCGAAATTCCCAAAGAATTTAATTTGCACGAGAAATGCCATCAAAATACTCACGATGCCATCTTCGTTGCCGCCGTGCTCGAAATTCGAGAGGAACTTGTTCAAAATGCTCTCCTCGCTTTCCTCGCCGCTAATGTAACGCGGATGACATTTGACATTGTAAACCCCTTTAAGATCATCAGTGGTGATCCGTCCATCGCCGGTTTTGTCCAATTTGTTGAACGCCTGCTCGACCACACTTCGCCGGCTTTGAGACATCGATGGCTGAAGTGAGAAATAATTTTATCAGCGAAAATTTATATGTAATATTCTTTTTTTATTCGCATTCATAATCTTTAAATACGATTTTTGTGTTTGAGCGAAATATTTTTTTATTATTCAGTTTTTTTAACACGTGAAATATCTTTCTACGGATATATAATTGTGCGATTTTTTTCTCGGGAACGAAAGATACAATAAATAAAATAGCGAGATAAACGTTAGATCAAACAAGAGAACTCACTCTTATGCCGACGAGGAACTCGTCGACGCTAATGTTTCCATCTTCGTCGGTGTCGAATTTCTGAAAGATCTCGTCAATCTCGTCGTCACCTATTTCTAGCTCCGTTTGCTTTAAACCCGTTTTGAACTCCTCGATATTTAGTTTCTTATTGCCATCCTCGTCCATACGACGGAATACTCTAAGAAAAGAAAAACATTATACATGATGAGATAGGATAAAATTCAGGGACAATCGTTACAAAGGTCGAGGACGACGACATTGAGCTGATTCATGCGTGTGAATCGAGCAAAAACCGTATCATCATCCGCGCAATGAACGTATTTGTGACGTCAAATCATCTTAATCGCGAACGACTCTTGTCTCCTATTATTAATCATACGTGACAAATATTAAAAACTCGATAGGTTTCAAACATTTTTTATAATCTTCTTTCTACGATCAATCATCAATTATGAATTATTTATATAAATATCTATGTGAATGTGCATTCAGTCTCAAAGAGAGAGATAAACTGAAATGTTGATGTTTTCACGCAGAATTACGCATCGATGAAAGTCGGAGTTGCGTGACGTCGACCTCATTCGCTAATAACAGCGTAAATAAAAGGATTCTCTGGACTTACCTACCCAGACCGAGGATGCCGTTGGCACCTCTAGCCAGGCAGAGCAGACGCAGCTTCTCAATGGGATCCGTTGTGATGTGTATGGCCCGTTGGGCCTTATTGATCATCTCAAGCTCCTGTCTCGTGGTCGCACTATGGGGCCTCAGGCTGAACATTGCTAGAAAGAGAAACGTCATCCGCTCACGTGACAAGTATGAGTCAGGTGACGACGTGAGGAGAGAAAGGGAGAGAGCCGCATTCGCGCTCCAGATGAGCGTCAGAAGATAACGCCGCTTGTGCTCGATCAATCGAGATGAAACCGAATTTAAGAGAAATTTAGAGATTATAAAAAAAATCTTGATTACATTCCAACAGAACATCGTTTATCAGTAATGTAATGCGCAGAAATGATAAGAGAAATATTAAATGCATGTGTAATATTCTGCATTCATAACGATACGCGATAGCGATTACGTTTCTTTTTTTTTATTTACTATCGTGCGGATAGAGGTGGATGAAAACTGGGTTATTGATTAACTGCCTTTCTACCACTAAGTTGACAATAATGCCACTTTTTTTTATAGATTTTATACTGTGCCGTCGACATTTGCGTGCCCCCGATGTCATCGGCCATCCCTAATGTGTGCGGCATTATGGCCATTCTCATCGTTAATAGTCTTTAATTATTTCACGCAATATCTTCTTGTGATCATCTTGTGTGTAGAATTGCGTTATCCATTCTAAAAGCTTCGTATAAAAACCTTGTTGTTGCCCAACATTTTGCCGGTCACATCGCTTTTTAGTCGGAGTGCTGAGAATAACTAAATCTATACCCACAGCGTATATCTCGCTTAAATTTATTAAATTAGAAACACATTCAACTCATTACGATTGTTTCAAATAGATTCTCCAAATTTAATTTATACAAAATTAATGCAAAATTAAATTATTAAAAAAATAACACATACAACATTTGTTGGAAAATCCCTTCCATTTAGACGCTGTGATATATTTTCAGAAATATAAGGCAATTTTATTTTTTTAGAATTTGAAGATCATGATGAGCAATACTTATGTTTAGATAAAACGTTAAGTTTCAAGAGCTGTATATAAAACGATATTAGCCAGGTTTTTATACGATGTATGTAAATAATGCGAAGTATAAAGACCTTACAACAATATCGACTTGGTGTTTCATCTGCCTGTCGTTTTGTTGGCAAGCGAAACGTCGCCGTCGTCAGCGTAATAATAAATATTTACGAACGAACGGCGCTTTGAATATTTGCGAAAATAGTCGGTTTGATCCAGGAATAGGGAAAATAAAACGGAATTTTTAGAAGCCAGATTGATCAACTCCACCTTTTGTAAAGTTCTTAATTTAAGAAATTGAGCACAGAAATAATCACACATTGTTCTAAAATTAAGAAATTTATCAAAAAAACGAAAATTATCAGTTTAGCTTCATGAAATATCATAAAGATAAAGAATCCACGATAGACGACAGAATATTTCTATATTTTATCTTTATATTTTCAGAAACGCCAGATAAAATCTGATTCACGAATGGTCCACACAAAGCGATTATGGGAGCATAGAAAGATAATTTACCGGGATAGCTCGCATATATGTGTGTAATTTGCAATGGGAAGATGATCGTTGGAGACCTTTCTGTTGCGTGTCGACTCCGCGCGATACCACTCACCTCAGCTTCCGGAGAACGCGTGTGTAGCGGAAGACGCAGATGGCTTCACGGGAGGAAGTAGGAACTGACGGAGTCCGTCTTCCTCTTCGGCGGCAACGGTGACGCGACGTCTTTTCCAAGAGTACCGGAAGGCGAGTGGCGATTCTTCGGCATAGCGGATCGTCGCGGATTCTACACGACGACGACGACACACATTACGTACACACCCTGGACGACGTGTGGGAAGTGGCTATACACTGGTCCCCTGGACGTCGCGACGTATCCATAACGACCGGCGTGTCACAACACACGCGCATCGCGAACCTCGACGATTGCACGCGTGATCGACCGATTGATTGATCGATCGATCGATTGTGATTGTCTTTTGCACGGACGATTGGAGAAGAACTGGAGAACCCTTGAGTCGGATAGGTCGTCAAGAGGAGTAATCGGTCGGGTTTCATCGCCGCGATTTTATAGTCGATCGCTCCGGTTTAGAATGATTTAAATATGATGATCATTGAACGGTCGCGCTATATATATGTTTTTTATTCATTTTATATCTAAAATTTTATTATCTGTGAAGATAACAATGAATATTAATAATTGGCAAACTATGGTCGGGACAGTATATCAATGTAGGCCTTTAGGGGAAGATGTAATTATATTTGTATTTTATTTATCATATTATTTATTATTTTATTCGTTTGTTAAGAATTATTTTCGACCATATTTTCTTTTTTATTCTACTAACGCGCTGTTCTCGCTCCATTAATCGGGGAACATTGCTGCGAATCTTTAGAGCGCTCGTTCGAGGGAGCGTCGTTTAACGCCTCGTCGCACATTGCGCTGACAAATTACGTAATCGTCTTAAACAATAAATTGCGATGGCAACAAAGTAAGTCTCGAACGAACTGCTCGTATATCCGGTCATTGTTCTCGCGGTTTTGCATATTCTCACGAGCGGTGTTTCGGTTCTTCTTCTATCGGAGAAAGAGAAGAGACAACGTGAAGAGGTATATATTGACTTGTTCGACAATGGATAGAATCCAACAAAGAAGTCTCGTTCGTAAATAAATGCGATGCAAAATTTTGAGCGCGCGATTTAGTATATCTCTTTCGATATTACGAGAATAATTATTTATTATAATATATAAAAAGAAAATGGGGAAAGTAAATTTTTAATTATTTCATGATGCGAGACACTCTGTATTGTGATAAAATCTCTAGACAAAATTCCATTGTATCGATACATTATCGAGGCTATCATCTCGCTGCTCGTTTCAGCAATGCGCGATAATGTCACCTTGACCTATGATTAGAGTTTGATATTGATAGTTGCGCGCAGATCGAACGGAACACAACAGAGTGTCCGCGATGTAGATAAATTACCGTACATATTTGATCGGCTCTGTCTAAAGTCGGATGCGCACACAGTGTGGTGGTAATATAGTTGCTTAATGTTACTCTTACATACACGCGTATATGTATATTACACGTTTCGCGTTCTTGAACCCTCGCATTTGCATTTACTGTCGCGCAATCGCAGGCCGATAATTAGCGACTTGTAGTATGACGATGAAATAACAATAACACACGTGGCCAAGCAGAGTCACGGTTGACGTTACAATGAGACGCATGCTCGAATAATACGACACGGCTTCATATTTTAAAATATATAGCGATCTCTTGAAGGAGAGCAATATTGACAAAATAAACTCTGGATACTGATTGTAAATAATAGACTACAAGCAGAGATAACGGTAATTTTTTCTTATCAAATATAGGATAATACTCAGGCAATAGATTTGCAACAAAGATGATGAATCTTTTTATTTTTATAGTTTCGCTGCTCTTTTTTGCAAAGAAATAAAAAGTATAATTATAATAAATATCACACCAAAGCATCGGTATAATATTATCACACATCTATGCCGGCTTTCGAAGTAAAAGTTAAGAGATCAACAAGACATCTATTTTATCAAATATATTTTTGCGCTAAATGATCGTTATCAACAAACAAGGAAAAAATGGCCCCTTATCCCATAGTAATTTTTTTACTTAGCGACAGTTGATAATAAGATATATCTGTTTTACCGAACTAAATGTTTCGCATCAATTGTCATCGACATTTTATTGAGAGAAATCGCCCATATATAATTTGTCATTGTTAACTATTTTATTGCTTTTTTTTACAACAATCTGAATATATTTTATATCATTCTGACATCGCGATAAACATGGCAAACATCGGTAATACAGAGTAGATCGTTCGCAACAAAAGTCATGTGTCTGGAAATTGATAACATAACTTCAACCGCTACCATTTTGTATGCGAATTATAATCGAAGGGGACGGAAGAAGGGAAATTTATCTATAGAATTGCCGATGATTCGATTTCCGATAATTCATCCGGCGTTCCCGACGCTGTGAAATGAATCTTCTAGAACAGCGGGAATAAGAGACGTGGGCGATGATACGGGGACCAATCGCACGATGCCATTTGGACGGAGCTGCCACCCGGCACGCTCGCCATTCGCTGGCGCTTGCTGCGTGGTCGATCGCGATTGGCCGATCGCCTGGCCGGCGACCCGTATATCCCGTCGCCGTCGCGACAGTTTCGCGACAGTCGGTGAAAAAACAGCGAAGTGTCAAGGTGTCGGAATAATTCCCGAGTTCGTTGAGAAAATCTTTTTTCTTTTCTCTCGTTGAAGATTTACGTCGCGACAACTCGATGAAGAAATTTCTCATACTCATCGCGGGACTATTCCTGCTAGCGGGTAAGTCGGAGATACTCCGATGAGATCAATTCTCTTGTTTCCCTGTGGGAGAATCGCGACTATTATACACGCGTTTATATTTGTCCTTTAGGATTCGTTCGGGCCGAGGATGAAGTCGACGAGGATGTCGGTACCGTGGAGAACGATCTCGGCGCCAGCCGCGAGGCATCACGAACAGGTACACATTGCTTCAGTTTGATTTCTTATGTTATTGTCCTTCTGCGCGAGAAATATTGTAACAGGTGGGAGGAGTCCGTTTAACGATAGCGATTATTCAAATATTGTGGTAAATTTTGCTCCGTAGCTTTTGCAAACCCTCTGATACATATAATTTACATTTATTATGGTTTAACTCAACACAAAAAGATCTGTCGTAGATTAGAATGTAAAAAATCTTATTTATTTTATTTATATATAGGAATAATTTTTTTCACAAGTCTAACTTTTTTTATCTTGAGCTTATTTATAAATAAACGATTGTACTTGATATAGGAATTTATATTTTATTGCAGATCATGAAACAGTACAAAGAGAAGAAGAAGCGATAAAGATTGATGGTTTAAATACAGCTCAGATAAAGGAATTGAGGGAAAAGTCTGAGAAATTTGCGTTTCAAACTGAGGTCAATCGCATGATGAAACTCATTATCAATTCTCTCTATCGCAACAAGGAGATCTATCTCAGGGAATTGATCTCAAATGCATCTGATGCTCTTGACAAAATCAGGCTGTTGTCTCTTACCGATAAAAATGTTCTGGATACAAACAATGAATTGGCTATCAGAATAAAAGCTGACAAGGAAAACAAAATATTGCATATAATGGATTCTGGTATCGGCATGACAAAGCAAGATCTGGTGAACAACCTTGGAACCATTGCAAAGTCTGGTACGGCAGAATTCTTGGGAAAAATGCAAGATGTTTCAAGCTCTCAGGATATGAACGATATGATTGGTCAGTTTGGTGTGGGCTTTTATTCCGCATATTTGGTTGCGAATGTCGTTGTTGTTACCACCAAGCACAATGATGACAAGCAATACATATGGGAGTCTGACAGTAGTAATTATAGCATTGTGGAAGATCCGCGCGGAGATACTTTAAAGAGAGGGACGACTATTAGGTACGTACAATCTATTCGAAAGATCACATTTTTAAACAAATTGTAAAATTTAAAAGTTTTGTAATAAGAACATAACACCATTTCGTGATACACACACACACACACACACACACACACATACATACATACACACATTTCAATTTCTATTTATATCATGAAAATAATTCCATTCTTTATCTTATAGCTTACATTTGAAGGAAGAAGCATCGGACTTCCTAGAACCAGATACGATAAGGAACTTGGTGAAGAAATACTCGCAGTTCATCAATTTCCCTATATACTTGTGGAATAGCAAAGTCATGCAGGTCGACGCGGAAGATGTGGAGGAGGATAAATCCAAAGAGGATGATGCTATCGAAGACAAGACCGACGAAGATGACGCAAAGGTGGAGGAAGATACGGATGAGAAGAAGCCCAAAAAAGTGGAAAAGACTGTATGGGACTGGGAATTGTTGAACGACTCGAAGCCAATCTGGACGTTGAAACCAAGCGAGGTCGAAGAGAAAGAATACAACGAGTTTTATAAGACGCTCACCAAGGACAATCAGGAACCTCTGGCAAAGATACACTTTGTCGCGGAGGGCGAGGTCACATTCAAATCCGTTCTATTCATCCCGAAGGTCCAACCAAGCGACAGCTTCAATCGTTACGGCACCAAGTCCGATAACATCAAGCTATACGTCAGACGTGTCTTCATCACTGACAAATTCACCGACATGATGCCGAATTACTTGTCCTTCATTCGTGGTATTGTGGATAGCGACGATCTACCGCTTAATGTTTCGCGTGAGAATCTTCAACAACATAAGTTGATCAAGGTCATCAAGAAAAAACTCATCAGGAAAGTGTTGGACATGATTAAAAAGCTCGACAAAGAGGATTTCCAGAAATTCTGGAAAGAGTACAGCACGAACATCAAGCTGGGCGTGATCGAGGACGCGCAGAATCGCGCGAGACTGTCCAAACTTCTGCAGTTCCAATCGTCCACGCAGAAAGAGTTGACTTTCCTAGCCGATTATGTATCCCGCATGAAGCCCAATCAGCAATACATCTATTATGTCGCCGGGGCATCTGAGGAAGAGGTGCAGAAATCGCCGTTTGTCGAGCGACTGAGCAAAAAGGGCTACGAGGTATTGTATCTGACCGAGGCGGTGGACGAGTACGCGATTTCGGGCTTGCCCGAGTTTGAAGGTAAGAAGTTCCAAAACGTGGCGAAGGAGGGATTCACGCTCGACGAGGGCGAAAAGGCAAAAGAACGAATGGAGCAGCTTAAAACAACGTTTGAACCCTTGACCAAGTGGCTGACCGACCTTCTAAAGGATCATTACGTCAACATAGTGCAAGTATCTGAGCGTCTAACTGACTCGCCCTGCGTCCTGGTCGCTAGCATGTTTGGCTGGACCGGTAATATGGAGCGACTGGCTATCTCGAACGCACATCAGAAAGCTGACGATCCACAGAAGGCCTACTACCTGAACCAGAAGAAGACTCTGGAAATCAACCCGAGGCATCCACTCATCAGAGAACTGTTGCGCCGAATCGAGGTTGACATATCCGATCTGACGGCGAAAGACACCGCGATGATGATGTTCCGTACAGCAACCTTGCGATCGGGCTACATGCTACGGGATACCGTCAGCTTCGCGGATAGCGTGGAGCAGCTGATGAGAAAGAGCCTTGGCATCTCCCTCGACGAAGTACCTGAAGAGGAAGAGGCGCAGGAGGAAGAAACGGCGAGCAACGACGCCGAGAAGTCGGACAACATCGATGCCGATGATGAGAAAAACGAATTGCACGAAGAATTGTAATAATAAGAGAGCGCTACATATGAAAGCGATATTTGAAAGACTTAATATTTTAGAAACGTAGCTATACAATGTATAGTTACCCCAAGTTTCCTCGAGGATGCGACCTCTTTCGCGTCGCCAGTCTATAAACAATTTAGATATATACAACATTTGATAAGTATGTTAATTCAATCTGGTATCCTGGAAAATTTCCGTAGCTATCATCGTTGTCAAAATGTGCAAGAGACGTAATGTATCAAAAATTTTTTTTTTTTTTTTGTACAAAACGCCGTTAATCGCGATATACATACTTTTTTGTTTTTGTTGAATCATATCTCTGTCATCGATATCAACGAAAAATTGTATATTTTAAAGTGGTTTAATTTATTACTTTCATTTGATCTTCCATACATAAACTTTTAAAGTAACGTGAAAAGAGCACTGACTGAGCGTTACTGACGTATGGTATGTTTGTGATGTATGTGTGAATGTATTTGTACATGAGATATTATGCAAATTATATTAAAATGATATATATCTATATACTATATTGATGCGACATCACAGTTTGTATATCATATCCATCTTCAAATCCTGAGATAAGGATAAAGATCTTGAGAATGATCAGTGAAAGACAAATGTTATTCGTTAACATTTACGATTTAACAATTACAAGTTCGCAAATAGTGCAAGAAAAGATAGCATTAAATGCACACTAACGAGAAGTAAAACATGCCAATTATTTACATGTTTAAAAGAATGAAAGAAATAATAAAACTTTTTCTATGCATTATTATTAAAAGCAAAGTTATGATTATTCCTTGGATTTTTTCGAGAGGTCTAATATTTATCAAAAATTTAATCGAGTACAGATTTTCAACTTTGATCGAGAATTACATAAATTTGCATTAGTTGATGAAATTTCCAAAAGAAATGTATTTTGTATCCATAAATATATATATATTACTTTAAAAAAATTATTAAGTGCCATTGTTACCGGTAATAAAATGTCCACGCTAGAATTTGTCTACCATTTATTCTATCTAATCAATAACATTCGGATAATCTCAAACAGATCGATGATTTTAATAATTTCTCGAGAAATCCAAACACACACGCATACAATACAAATATATACCGTGACTGTTTCATGCCTACATGCATACATATGCCGGCGAATTTTGAAACAACGACGCGTCGCGTAGTTCCGGCCACCATTGTTGAGGAGACGCCACTGGTTGGCCAATAGCGTGGCCTCTGGGCGGTCGTCGGTCGTGCGCGCTTGTGGGGACCAGCAGCAGGGACCAGGGTGCTCATTTCCGTTTTCGATTCGACGTCATCCAACTCCGAAAGCCCGTGTGTTTTGTGTTTCTTTGGGGCCACGATGATTATCGCTAATTTAACGTAAGTAACGATGTCACGTTAGCGGCGGCTCGCGCGGATACGCTCGTATGTGGTTTCGTGGTCGCGAATCCGCGCGAACGCACGCCCCGGTCGAGTCCTTCCGGGTTAGCGGGGGGAGGGGGGGGGGGGCGGAGAGTCTCTTCTTCAGATTGCACCTAACCCGATACCGACGGTCGCCGACCGCTGGGACACGGATCGGCCACCACGAACGAATCGCTCTCTTCGTCTATAAATCACAGATCGCTTGGGGGGATTCCTTTGCGGGATTCGTCGCGTATTTTCCGTTTCGGCGAGAACTCCGCCTCGATCGAGGCCTAGTTGACCGGTCGCATGAATCAGCCGGCAGTCGAACGGAGAAACGTCGCAGTCGCACGCCATCCCGACACCCGGACACGCGTATAAACAAAGTAAATGGCGTCGGTCGCTCGTACGTCCCTCGAGATTCCGACGATTCGATTATCCTCGTCGGCGCGTACTCCGCGCTCGACCTGCTGGGCAAATTCTTGGCTTGTCCCGTTTGCGGGATAGGGGGAGAGACGAAGGGGCGCTTGTGGACAGTCAAACCTCGATTGTTCTCCCCTTTTCTTTTTTTCTTTTTTTTTTTTTTTTCTTTTTCTTCTTCTTCTTCTTCTTCTTCTTCTTCTTCTTCGTATATCTGGGCGAGAATATCGACAACGCGTGCTTGCACGGGCGCGAAAGAATCGGAGTAATTCGTGACACTGACAGATCGTATCGACGTTGATGATAATGTATTGATGTAAAGTTCATGCTGGCTTTCTTTCCTTCTTTGCAGATTGAAGCTTTTGAAATTGGAATTAGGTTTCTTCAGATATTAAAACAAACACACACACACACATATATATACTTCAAAAACATACCGACGTAAAAGAAAAAAAAAAAAAAAGAAGGGAACGCATTGCTGGTCTTGCAACGCAGAGATAAACGATCCAGGAAGAATATATTTCTATATTGATCTTTTTTTTGTTTTCAGTTCATAAACTAGATTCCAAGTCGAGCTCACAGACTCAGTCGAATCTGTCAGACACGCCGTCAGCCTCGGAAGGAGATTCCAATTTGGAGACATCGAGATTCGCATCTGAAACTCTGGAGAGCGAACGCGAGAGTTTGAATGCATACAAACAGGCAACCGCTAATGCCAAAGCAGCGCCGCAAATTGTGATCGATCCACCTGGACTTCAGGGTCATGGAGATTCTGATAAAACATACCGACGTAAAAGAAAAAAAAAAAAAAAGAAGGGAACGCATTGCTGGTCTTGCAACGCAGAGATAAACGATCCAGGAAGACAGCGACACCCTTCGTGTAAAGTATAATAATTAAAAATTAAGGTGTGGAGATTCGTGACTGCGGAGCGCAACTCAGGAGTTCTTTCATTATTGAAAAAATGGGCATTCAAGACTTGCAAACTTTCCTGGATAGCAATTGTGTGCAAGGAGGATCCGTGCCTATAGATTTGTTGAAGATTGCGCGTGTGTTTGCGCAAAAGTCACAACGTAATCGTGTAATTAAGGGACAACAGTTGCATAACTTTGGTAAATTGAGACTAGTTCTTGATGGAGAATGCTGCTTGGATCGATTATACGGTGGATTCTTCTCAGGTAGATTATAAAATAATGTATTTTGTAAAAAATTCTTATAGACAAATTAATATATATACATACAGTGATGTTTGGATTGATTATCTGTCTTTAATCAACAGATTATATTTTATTTATATTAAATTAACATAATGTGGCTTTACAATTCGCAGATTGGGCTTGCGGCGGACAATGGAACCGCATGCTCCAGTTTCTTGCAGTTCTTATACAAGCGATGGAGATGTCAGGACTAGAAATAGCTGTATTCTTTAATGGGTGTTTTGAACCTCTTCGGCGAGCGGATTGGGTACAACATCAATTGCAAATGCGTGCTAAAGTTAACAATGTAAGTTTCTCATACAGTTATACTTTTGGATAAAATGGATATGGATTGAGATTTATGAAAATAATGTACTGAAATATCAAGGTCCTGAAACACATAACAACGAAAGGTACGCCGCCGCCGAAAATCTGGTGGACTCCACCTGTATGTTTAAGGACAAGTTTACGTATGGCTCTTAGGCATCTGAACGTCACAGTTGTAAGTTGACAAACGTCTATATTCTTTTATCATAGTTTTGAACTTATAATTGTTTATTATGCATTTCTCAAATTTGGATTAAAATATAACAAAATATGTATATTATGTATTTACAATAAGTTTGAAAATTATTAAAGACTGGGTAAATCTCTGAATCTCTGATATTAATATATTTTGACAGTTGTGTAGCATGGACGACCATCACCAGGAAGTCATTGCATATTGTCGTGAGAACAATTACAATGGGCTGATAGCTGATGATGCGGAATACGCTGCATTTGATCCTCCACGATACTTCTCATCTGAACAATTGAAACTGACATACAAGGTATAAATACTTTTAATAATGTAATATATTCAATATTATATTTTTTACAACATTAATTTACAAGTGTATAACAAATTTCTCTTTCTTTACAACAGGGTTCTCTTGACACAAAAGAATATATGCTCTCCGAATTCACTAAAGCCCTCAACATACCATCCGACAGGCTATGTATATTAGCAGCTTTACTTGGCAATTACATATTGACTGAAAGCGATTTGGCCGATTTCTACAAGAATCATAATATTAGCACCAATGTGTTAAACAAGACGAGCGTCGAACAGATGATCAAGACGATTGCAAACTTCGTCAGGGAACTTTCGTCCGTGGAGTTGGATGTAGTTTCGCAAAAAGTCTTTGGTTCTACCTCGGATCCAAGGTGTTCTAAATTGAGACAGTCTGTTCAGTACTATTTGAATGGAACAAAAGAGGGATTTCTACACTATAAGCCTGTGAAACCAACAAAAGGTAAGATAATGTGAAAAAGAAAAGTTTTCAATGTACGATTATCGTTTGTAAAAAACTAGATAATTTCTGTGTTGCTAAAATTTTCTTTAAAATTTTTTTTCAAGCATTATAAAATGTTTTAAGGGAAGGGAAGGCGTTTCATTATATATTGAAAATAAAAACTAAAAGTAAAAGTAGATGGTATATAGTATGTGTGTATTATAAAGTCTCGATATTATAGTATAATATTATAATATAAATATATTTCTATATTGATCTTTTTTTTGTTTTCAGTTCATAAACTAGATTCCAAGTCGAGCTCACAGACTCAGTCGAATCTGTCAGACACGCCGTCAGCCTCGGAAGGAGATTCCAATTTGGAGACATCGAGATTCGCATCTGAAACTCTGGAGAGCGAACGCGAGAGTTTGAATGCATACAAACAGGCAACCGCTAATGCCAAAGCAGCGCCGCAAATTGTGATCGATCCACCTGGACTTCAGGGTCATGGAGATTCTGATAGAGACGCCATACGCACGGAGGAGGAACAAAGTATGTTGGCAAAACAAATGTTATAAATGCAATGATGTGCTTGGCGTTTTATCGGCGGTTTATTCTCTACAACTAAACATCCGGAATATTTAAAATAGGTGATGGACACGCAATCAACGGTACTCACAATCTCTTGATAAGCTCATCGAGTTCGAGTAGCAGTTCCTCCGCAACGTCACCGTCCCACGCCACGGCCGATTCTGCGAAACAGCCGGAAAAAACGCCCAATATTCCCGTCACATCGCCGGAGGTCATGCGTACCGCTTCGGAGCGTCACCAAAAAGGACTGATGTCGCCGTACATCTATCAAATTCTCATTGCCGGCGAGATCAAATTGCCGGTCCTTCTGGAGGATGAGAATCATCGCGAATTTCCTTCCATTCATGTGATTTATAGACCAATTCGACAAATGGTGTATGCGATTTTGTTCAATCTTCATCATCGAATGTATCTAGCTACAAAGAGTAAAGAAAAGGGTGGTAAGTATCATACATTAATTTTGCCAATATTATGAAGATTTGTTTTTTGTATTAAATCCATCCTAATTCTGCGCGAATTTGTGCTCACTAGACAGTGAGAAAGTCGAAGTCCCAGAAGTGATAATAAAGGAATGGGTATGGTCCAAGTCCAACCCATATCAAACTCCAGAATTGGTGAAAGCGGAGCAGATCGGTTGGGGTGTTCCTACAATACAACGTTTATGGTTTGGGTAAGCAATTTATCTCTATTCAATTAAACCAAATAAATTTTTAATTTTTAATTCAATTGTACATAGGTATATGTTGTAAATTAATCTGTTTAAATTTTCTGTAAACTGACAAAATTTCCTGTTCTTTAGCACAGTTATAGATGATAAGCGGCGTAGACTTAGGGGATTCCTAACTTGCATGAGGTCAGATACTCCTCTCATATTAAATACCTCATACGTTCCGCAACATCTATTGGTCATGGCTTGTGTTTTGAGGTAAATGTCGATTAAAATTATTTTAATCTATTATATTTGTATTATATATATATATATATATATATATAATACAATTATAATAGATTATATATATATCTTTTGAGATCGCCGGAGTTGTGGTGGGCCAGTGGGGTCCAAATTATGGGCAGCCTGGTCGACCCATGCCGCAACCATTGCAGGGGCATCCTCGAGGACGAATTCCACCACAGGTAAGATATAATGGAGCTGACACACAATAGGCTATATGCGTGTTTGCGATTTCATAATCTATATAGTTCCGTATCGTTGCGTGTATATGGAATCTAAGGAGCACACGATGACGATATTCTCAACAGATTTTAGGGGAACGTTCGAGATATTGAATAGTCTCGATCCGCTTTCACTATTTAACGTCGCCGACGTGCATTTAGGAGGGACATCACGTAATACCGATTTAACGCAGAATTAGTAACATTATACATTTTATGTAGTTTTTATACATATACTTATATATAATTTTTATATGTATAGACGCGTTCGATCAGGTGGAAATGAATTAAAAAAAAAAAAAAAAAAAAAAAAAATAAAAAAAATAAAATCACATGAAAAGCCAGTATCCGAGAATTTATATATTAAGCGATGGAGGATAATTACATTTATCGTATACTATGCAATTTTATGCATGCTATTCCCTTACTCCATTAGAACGTTTTATGAATGCAAGTGTTTTGACATTTGTACGATATTTTCTTTTTATAGCTTTGCAATCTTGTATTATCGCATTTGCATGTTTTTTGTATGTAGTATGGACACTGTTATAAAATAAAGGTGTTTATATATTTTAATTCGGAATATTTTAACTTGTGTTCCTTATTTTAAGTTTTATTTGAATAGCTCGATTGAATGTGAAGTATGTAATAGCTGAGTCACAAGCAATGTATGTGTGTGTGCGAAATAATTTATATAAATTATACATAGTTATATGTTTTTTTTATATACTTGGCGTCGTGACGCTACCGCGTCGCTTGATATAAAAAGAGAATCATATGTTAGATGAAATCATACATTTATTTCCAAAAAATTCCCTATTTACTCGAGAAATATCATATTTATCTTGTAAATATTTCTTTTTATTAATTGTTTATAATTTATTAGCTTTATGTATATAATTATAATATAATTATTCAATATTATATTGTAAACTCTCCCATCAATATGAAAAATATGATAGTTTATAAATGCTATTATTAAAATCATCATTAATCATAGGCTCAAAAGAGTTTAACAGAGAGATACAAGTTTTGCACAAGAAAAAGTTATACAACAAAGTGAAAATTTTGTTGTAATTATTGATTACTCGTGTGAATGTAAATGTAAACATCGAAGATCACGAATTTATTCTATATATATATCTCGCAAATAGAGTCCACCACTTATCTGTGACATGAATTGCGCCAATTGTAAAAGAATTACAATTTATATGATCGTAATTTTCTTTTTCCCTTTCCATTCGCATGTTTAATAACATATACAAAAAAATTCGCGCGTGTCACAATTTAGGTCACGATTTTGTTGCAGGTAACTTCTATTGGTGGGCTTAAGTACGGTCTTCCCCGTGGATTCAATCCGATAAATCGACCGACCTTTCAGACACGCGGTACCAATCGCGCCCCGATTGCTGGACGTGGAAAGAAGACTCAAATGAAGGTAAAAAGATCTTGTAGGTATATATAAGCGAGATGAATATGTCGGGCAACGTGAAAACTCGAAAGACCCTTTGCTCGCGACATTTTTTTAAATCGATAATATTTAGCATACATACAACTGATAACTTGCTACGCGAATAAACATTCGCGATCGAAACATAACTGCTTCAGGCGATATTACTTCTGAAATCTATTATGGGCATATATAAGGCGAGAGAAATATCGGGCGCAAATGAATAAGAATCTTAATTTTCTCTTGCATCTGCTCTTATTACTGAGATACCATTAAACCTTATGAATTATTATCTTTCCGCGTTCGTCTGCATATGTCCTAATAAAACATTTTATTTTACGGATGAATGCATTTAGATGTTTATCGATATTTTAGGTAACTGGCAAGAAGAAGACTGCTATTAAGAAAACTACCGAGAAGAAAGACGGCAGAAACCGTGGTACCATCGCCGATGAAATCACAGATTATAAGTAAATATCTTAAGTTTCTCTCTGCCTAACGCGTATCTAAAAATTAAAGATTCATCTTCGCATTCCGGCGCAATGATGCAAACATAAGACGTTTATTTTCTCATTCAGTTTTGCACAAAACTCGGCATTTTTAACTTAATAATATATATTTATACATTCCTCGATTTTCTTAATCATACCTAATATTTTATTAATCAAATTATATATAAAGAATTACATTATATAATTATGTTATTTACAGCATTACATTACAATATTTTACAGCATCACATTCTTTATTTCAGCGAAATTGAAAGCGACGATGCAGCTCGTGCATTATTGACAAAAGATGCATCGTCGGTACCAGGTCAGTTTGATGACGCAGTGGAAAATGGTGGTAAAGGAATGGAAAAGGGACAAGGCGATGCACCGCTGGTCACTCCGGTCGCCACGGAAAGCTAGATGCTACCGACGTACAAAGAGAAAATTTCAAGAAAACTGTAACTACTTCCCGACCATGACTCAAGACTGCTAACAATCTACGTATATGTTCTATGAGCGATTGTGCATTAGTAACACTTGAATATCCACTTCTGAAATTGTTATGCGGAAATTTTTCATTCTTGATAATATTATTATCAAAATGTAATCGAAAAAATACAGGAAGATCTATATATTATTAAGCTGACGTCAGACTATGCGCGTATTCGCCATTCGTAATTCGTAATGGTTTGCGGAGATTCATGATTCATCAGTATGGATTCTCACTCGCAATCTATGTTCACGATTTACGACTTCGGCGTTTATTGATAAATATTCATTTCATTATCAATTTGACAATGAAAATTTTTATTTTATTACCAATTTTGTTTATTATGTAATGAATAGAATTTGAAAATGATAATTAAGATTGTTATTTAATGCTATAAAATATCGTTATAAAATATAAAAAATAACGTTTTATAAGGTAAAATTTATTATTAGAGAGGAATATAAAATATAAATAAATACAAGCACATACAAATGTGTTATTTATACATCACATAACTGTTTATTATATAAATATTTATGTGCGATTATACATATATATGCATATATATATTTATATCATTATATTCCGTCAAGAGAGAATCATATTTCGTATATTAGATTTGTTGATATTTAAGAACTATTATTTTTAACAGCATCAAGCGACAATTGTAATTATTATAGTCTTAATTTATATATCAGAATATGCAAATACATAAAAATTTATTAAATTTGATGATGAAATGAATAGTTTATATATTTATCTTGATGCATAGTATATCGCCAGCTTTACACATAATTGTGAAAAAAGCATTACCTTATTTTTCAGACAATCTATTATCATCAGGAATTGTTTATCAGATAAATTGGTGCAATGTCATGATTTACACAATATTTACTTGCAATTATGTGTTATTTTTTTAGATTAAAACTTTGTAAAAAAGATATATATATATAATATATATATAATATATTATATATACATATATTACAAAGTTTTAATTTTTCAAAATTAAAAATTATGCATTTAATTCGTTAATAAGTATTTCTTAGACGAAAGGGATTTTCGAAGCATTGATGACATCATTTAAAAGCTGTCTGTTTCTTTAGTGTTACTTGCACAAAAGCTCGAATGGGTCCAAAAATATTGAAATATTAATAAGAGACGAGAGATCTTTACTTAAATGGTGTCTCGATAGTCCGCGACACACGGTGTAAAGATTTTACCCATTTTTGACATGATGACCTCACTGCCAAACGTACTATTCTGTATAAGATAGAAAGAGAGAAATGAGAGGAAAAGAAAAAAATCGTGCTTGTACTAAAACAAAAAAGGAAGAAAAACGAGCTAATTTTGCTCGCATTATACTCGACTGATTACGCGTGCGCTAATTTTACTACTCAAAGAACACAAATCGTCAGCTGCTATAAGTATTTAATTCTTAAGAATTATTTTTTTTACACGAAAATATATATTTTCCGGTATTATATGAAATGCTCGCTGTGACGTGTCTCAGTAGTCCGATCTGATCAACGAAGAAAGTAGATACACGCGTACACAGATTACACATATATACACACGCTGTACACATTACACGATTACTGACTTTTGTAGATAAGAACGATGCCAGATGGAGTACTGAGATAATCATTAGCACATGGAGACTGATGCTTTTCATATAGGTAAAATATATATTGATATATATATACATATTATTTAGATTAGAAAAGATTCCAACGCATATGCAGTATATTATACGTAAGTTGTGCCTGTGTATGATGCATGGATGTATTGTACTTACGAGTACATGAGAGAAATTGTGCGTATTAAAGCATGCATGTCAGAATAAGAGAGAAAAGGAGAAAGAGAGAGAAAATGAAAGAAGCCACGATAATGATGTACATAAACGTGGCATGTTATGCCGTTACGAACGCACGTTACATACGTGTGTACACGCATGTATGCAACCTAGATCATATATTTATTTGCGATGAAAGATTGTATGAATGAATGTATTTCGGACGAAATTTGTGGTTTAGATACGATAGCGTTTCTATCTTGAGAGCAGACTTGAGGCTTATCGTGAGGGCTTATCTTAAATATAAAAAAATGTTTGTTGAGAAGAGCGATCCCCCTTATGGTATGCCTCATATTGTTTAGAAAATATGCTACATTATGGCTAAATACGCGAGAAATACAAGTTGTTGATTCTAAATAATTTATACGAACACATATTTGATTGGAACGTATATTAGTTTAATTTTTCTATCGCGTGACTTCTCGCAATATACTTGTTTGTTGAAATTTTGATGTTTAAGTTTGAAAAAAAAAAAATTGATAACACATTAAAAACATGTTATTGTCGTCATAGATTAAGTATTAAATAAAAGATTTAGGAAAAAGAGAGGATTAATTATATATTATATTTGAAAAAATACAAATCTTTTCGTGCGCGCACGTCTAGTGTAGCATATTTCAAGAAATGTTCCTCCTTTAATTGTACATATGAACAGTTACTTTTTAGAAGTGACACAGTGTGATTGATATATATGATGTACATACAGAATCCAGGTGCGTGTGTGCTTATCACGCATCGGAGAATAGGAAGCGATTATGTTAAAAAATATACTATTTATGCGTAGAATAGTCTAAAAGACTTTCTACCAAAGATCATCGGAATTTAAGAGAGAGAGAGAGAGAGAAAGAAAGGGTTTTCTTTTATCAGTAGAAAAGATATATAACAACAAAATAACAAGACAGCACGACAGAACACGATTATTAAAATAAGTACCGAAGAGATGAGACGAAAACACATGTCCAAGACATGTGGGCGAAGGTAATTAAAGCGAGTAAAAAAAGAGAAAACCATTTATTGAGGTAATATAATGAAATGATAAGATAAAATGTTATATTTTTGTAGATTTGTTATTGCGTAAAATGCATTAGGACACTGTGAGAAACTTTATATAATTTGAGTAAAATGACAGTTAACGAGCCTGAGAGTAGTTAAATGAGTAAGATCCTGTGGGAGAGAGAAAGAGAAAGAGAGAGAGAAATACGAAAGTGCTTTAGATGGCATGTTAAGGAAATGACATCCGTGGATAAATTTTGCCGAAAAGAAAAAAGAATCGAGTCCCACGTTTTCCTATGTTTCCGGAGCTCTCAGTTTCCCGAGTTGCTTGTAGGGACAGGAAAAGAGAGAGAAAGATTATATATATATACACACGCATATATAACATATATGAATACAGAGATGAATTATATATAACTAATAATGTCAGCTTCAATGTGCGCCGAGCATGTGTGGAAATTTGACCATTTTACGCGATGTGAAATCAACGTCAGCGTTCGCTTCTAACGCAGTTTCTATCGAAATTGGCGTGTGCGTTTGTAAACCGATATGTTTCACGTGATACATACGTAATATGATTTCGAAATCATCCGAGTCTCATAACGCAATTAGCGTGCGATTACTTTGCAAGGTACACGCACCGAGGTACGACCGCTGAAAAAAAAAAAAGAAAAAAACAGTATTCCTTTCCGAAAAAATAAATTTCGAAAATTGACAATTATTCGTTCGTTCTCGAACGATATATACACTTATACACACACACACACACATACACAAAACATACAACATACATACAACACGTACTAGAAGCCGACTTTCTTGAATCTGACAAAATACGAATTTGAGAGTAAAATGTCACTTTACGCTTTTACGTAAAGATAGATGTGATTTTCTTTCTGAGAGAAATCGAACTCTTGATATCTAATACCGGATATAAAACGTAAAGACACAAATAATAACGATGTAACGCAACGTGATCAGTTGCCGCTGCACTGATACACGAATAATATTCAATAATAATAATAATAATGATGATGATAACGTGAAATAATTTAATGTAAAACGCGAAGCGTGTATAATGCGAAAAATGAAAAGAAAACGAGAATCCACATTGAATACAACAGAAAATACGGAAACTCGAATGACGTAAAAAAAAAGATTTAAAAAAAACAGGCATGTCCGCAACTTAAAGCGTGCCTGTGCCTTTCGTTATTGCGATAGATAGAGGAGAAGCGGGGCCCACGAAACAAACTCATCTATGATAATAATAATATCGACATTACCGTTGTAAAAGAATTACAAGTAATCTATGATCGTATTTATATATGAAGTAACAATCTATAAATGATCTTCTCAGATGCAATTGTGTGTGTTGTGAACAGATAACTAATAACGAAAAATTCACATTGTGCACCGAGTATAAAATACTAACTCTCGAGGGAGCGACCGATTATTATATACTTGAACGATGAAGAGAAATGAGTCTGTTATTCGAGAAACGTTATTGTTGACAAAAAAAAAAAAAAAAAAAAAAAAATTTTTTTTTTATTTGCGCTGATGATGGCAAAA